CGGATAGCCCTATGGCTACTTCACCAACCAGATGACAACATCCACCACTACCAGCAGCACCTCGACAGACCCTCAGACGTTTAACTCCGGAAGAAGTAATGCAACCAACCAAAGCACAGAAGACCTCAAAGGACACTGCAATCGGACCAACGGAACAAGCAACCAACGAGCCACAACCACTACGACAGAAAGTCAATGCAGTGACACTGCCCAACGGAACATCCATCGAAATACCTACAAGATGGGTCCACAGAAGGAAAGGACCAGGAGTCCGAAGCCGAATCGTTGCAAAAGGCTACACAGAGAAGATCGACTGCCACGCTTTTGGTGAATTGCGTAGTCCACACATGGCTTTCTTTAGCCGCCATATTTTGTCCCGTTGCGGACAAAGTTCTTTAGGTGGCCAGAGGTAGACGTCACGTTGTTTACCGTCGTGGTCCTTCGTAAATTGTGCGTGTAGAAATGCTGTAGAGACGTTGCCTAGTCGCGCGATCCAGTTTGGTCGTGACATTTGTAGCGCGAGGAGTGTCCGGAGTGTCGTGAACATTGGTGTAGAGGCGTAGACGGAGTCTTCGTCCTCGGACTACCTGGCTGAAGCGCTACAAAAGCTCAGCTTTGTAAGACTAAAGTCAGAACCTAACGTCTACACCAATGCGACTCGCGACTGCTACATCATGGTCTACGTGGACGATCTACTGGTACTTGGAGACAAGACTACGGTTGACTCCATCTTCGAGGCCATCCAGAAGCAGCAGGTTCTACATAAAGCACATTGGCTACCTCGAGCCTGGCAAACCACAACAATTCCTGGGAAGAAACATCGACCACTTCGGCAACTACTGCAATCTTGGACTAAAGGACTCCTACATCGACAACATGATTGAGGAGTCTGGAATGACCAACTGCAACACGGTGACCACTCCAGGAATCGCCCACTACAGACCAACAATAGAGGATGAAGCACTTCTTGACCACGAACAACACAAAAGGTGCAGAAGGATTGTTGGCAAACTTCAATGGTTAGCATACACACGACCAGACATCGCATACGCTACAAAAGAACTAGCACGAGACCTCACAGCACCCACAGAACTTTCACAAAAGAGAGTCAAACATTTACTACGCTATTTGCACGGCACCAAACAATACAAATTCACCATAGAACCAACAACAACACTCAGAGCAAACACCAACAACATCCTGGATCTCGACGTTCATGTCGATGCTGACGGGGCAGGATGCCCTACTACCGGGAAATCAACTTCAGGTTTCAACATCATCTTTCTAGGAACAACAGTTGCATTTGGCAGCAGGACACAAGATACAATAGCACTTAGTTCAGCAGCGTCTGAACTCTACGCCATTCGCACAGGAGTTTCATGAGCGACTACACCTCAGAAACTTCCCACTTGAAACCAACATTTGCCGCAAGCTAAACAGACTCCACAGCAGGCAAGAGCATTGCTACACGACAAGGCACAAGCAAACGAGCAAAGCACATCGACCTCAAATTTCTCTACACACAAGACCTCATCAGACACGACATCATCAGAATCCTTAAGATCAACACACTTCACAACAGCGCAGATTTGTTTACCAAATACATCAGCAAGGAAACACTACACAGGCTGATCCAGAGAATTGGGATACGCATTTAGCACTACGATCGACCAGCACAACAACAACAACAACAACAACAACAACAACAACAACAACAACAACAACAACAACAACAACAACAACAACAACAACAACAACAACAACAACAACAACAACAACAACAACAACAACAACAACAACAACAACAACAACAACAACAACAACAACAACAACAGCAACAACAACAACAACAACAACAACAACAACAACAACAACAACAACAACAACAACAACAACAACAACAACAACAACAACAACAACAACAACGACTTTGATTTTTTTGTATGTAGGTAGCTACATGTTACAAGACACCTTTGGTATGCAAGTAACCTTAACTACATGTATTTTCACTTGCACTTTTGGCGGCTTGAGTCAACACTACAGTTGCTTGTTTTACATGTCTGCATGTACATTTGCATTCCACTGCAGCAATGGCCGCACCATCTACTGCAGATGCTACGATGGGAAAAGCGTCTACGCCTGACAGGGCGACAACACCTGAGGTGGCGATCACTACGGACACCAGTGATCAAGGAACACCACCTCCTCAGGACTACACCAAGACCAACTACCGCTTCAACCACGCCACGCCTGGTACTACGGCTTACAACAACCCGGCAACCGTCATGGAGCAACTACACCTCACGGAGTACCAGACTACCACTACGCCACCACTGCACAACAACACTCCCTACGCTCAACTTTTCACTGCACTTACACTTGAAGAGTATCAACTACTCTCATTACAATAAGCAACTCCACTTTCACAACTTGACTACACACTACCCATTCACTGCATCCCAAGAGACCTCCGGATGCCACACTACAATTCCACACTTCTCAGCATCTCACTACCTGAGGCAGCAAATGTTCACTACTATCACACAACTTCAACGCAGACTACCACTGGCGACAACTACACCTACGCCATTGTTCAACTACAGGTTGAACAACAACTCTTTTTGAGGTATCTTACCTCTGGACAATTTGTCCACTTCACAAGGGACTACATCTCCTACATGATGTCAATCCAGAACACCTTCTACCTCCCAACTACACAACACCCACAACTTGTCTACAAGGTGGAGTATGACATGACTACTTTCACCGACACCTACAGCCTGAAGAACAACTACATTTGGAACTACCACATGCCACTACTACTACCGGACCTCCTACACTACCTCAACAGCCGCGGCCAACTACATGACTTCCAACACAAAGCCAGCACTACAATCCTTTGCAAAAGCATTCAATACTACGGCTTCACACTACTGACAATGACCAACCTGACACAACAACACAAGACCCAACTACATCGTTTTCTCAGGGACTACGATCAACGCATGACCTGTCCTGAGATTGACGATGAAAGACTACGCGGCGCCCCCAACTACATGACCAGCTTCTTCACCACGCACTACTTTGCGACCTTGGACAGTCGACTACAGATGGTCCAAGCCTACCGGGGCCAGCACTGGGCACTACATGCCTGAGCTAGGAGCTCAACTACATCAGGTAGCTGCCTCACGAACTCCATCCAGCACTTGCACTACTTCGTGCTGGACCATGAATAGCGTGAGCTACTGAGAGCAGCACCTACCTTTTTTGCCACTGCAGTAGCATTGATGAATAACAATGGTTTTCATCACTACTGTCAATCCCTGTTTTGCACTTCAGTTGAAAAGGTACTACAAAGACCTTTTAACTGAGGGGGCCGTGTCAAACTACATGCTTCACTTCCTGCACTTGTGTTGCATGCATGTACACTACTGCAGGCCTTGAGCTTACTACGACTGCATTAGTGAAAAGGTTGGCAGCTGCAGACTACATTGGTTTATGTTTGTGAGAACACCACAGCACTTGCACTTGTAGTCAAAGTAACAACTGATTTTAACGGGGACGAGAGAGAGCGAGAGAGAGAGAGAGAGAGAGACAGAGACAAGGGACAGAGAGCCAGCGAGACACAGAATGAGAGAGAGAGAGAGAGAGAGAGAGAGCTAGAAGGAGAAATTATGTGATATGCCCCTTAGGTGCAGCTTGACAACATTCCATAAAAGGTTGAAAGAAGATGCGGCCGAATCTGAAAAAAGAGCCACGGACCCCTGTTGGAAAGGACGGGTTCCAAAAGCTAGCCAAGGTGGGATTCCAACGATTTGGGAGGGTCCAACTGGCTCTAGCGCGCGCACACACACACCGACACATTTCTCTTTGAGAAGCATGCATGCGCCTGTTTAGGATGATGGCTCCTCAAACATAGGTGCATTCCCAGGCTGGACCTGGTTCGGCTCATGAGGCGTGTGGCAGTTTTCATGTTTGCGAGACAAAAAGGAAGGGATATGTTCCTTTTCATGCGCTGCGCATACTGTGTTGTTTGGTCGACATTGATTCAACTCTAATCAGTTCTCGATCTTGCCCGCTCCTCACTCACGGAGGCGAACTAATATTGTTTTCTGGGAAAGCTGACATATTGCATCACGAGACAGGCGTTTCTCAAAATCAGGGACCCCTACATAAAGCTGCTTGCTTTCATGATGGTTCCGCTCATTTCTCCCCCATATAAATGGAGTGCTTTCATGTCAACAATTGTTCTCCTTCAAAGACTTCAAAAAGGGTTGCTCTATTTGAGAGTGTGAGTCAAATATAGGTACCCGACATGGAACCCTGGTAGATGGTGGTTTGATTGTGACCCAGGCCCATACCCAAATGCTGAATCCCAAATAGAACAAGAAGTGGGCCTTTCCTGAATGAGTAACCCTGGTAGATGTCGGTAGGCCCCCGCCCCCTAACAATTGCATTTTCCCGCAAAGGCCGCTGGCCCTTTTGCTTTCACGGCTGACCGCATTGGGTCGTCTCGCAATGTTCTCCAAGCCCGTTCCATCTTGCCGCCTGCAGCTGGGTTGGTGTTTGACCTCCTGCAAAATGTTGAGCTGCTTGCTTTTAGAGGGGAAAGAGTCACTTTCCAAAAAGTTACAAGGGTTACAGGTCAAGCCAAAGTGCAACCAAGGCGGGGCAAGGAAGAACTGTCTCCAGGCCGGGGCGTTTCTGGGCCAGACCGCTGGGCTAAAAGCGATGCACTCCGGAGGCCCACTTCCCAACAAGAAAAAGGTACACCACTTTGGCCGTTCCCGTGGGACTCCGGTGGATTGCCGCTCTCAGCGAAGTGGGTCTCATCCGCTATAAAACCGGGTGAAATCTCAGGGACGGGGCCAGACATCGTGCCCATTGCCCCAGGAAGACTCAGCTGAGAAGACCTGTTGAGGAGTCTGGGCTTTCTGTGTTTAGGCCTGCAAGAGGAAACAAACCGGAAACCATCCTTGGTGGGGCTTCCATGCGGAGGTGCCCGTTTTGAGACAAGCCCAACCAGGCGGAGTCCATCCATTTTGACAGAACGCTTTCCCTCACCGCATCTCCTTGGATGATGGATGAACCTCAGGGCAGCGTTTGGATGAAAAAGCGAGCTTCCACGTTCTGGGGCTGCCTTTGATCTAAACAAGAGGTGCACTTTTCTTTTGCGAGTGTCCTTCGATATCTTCGGGGAAAATACAAGCCTATCTTTTCAGCAAAACCGAGCAAACATGTGCAAACGCTGGCTCAGGCTCAAAGCAAAGGGCCTGTCTGAATCCGCGTTGGCTTAGGAGTGCTCTGTGGAAGTTTAAAATCAGGTGGCCCCCTCAAATCTCATTTGAAAGGACCCGAAAACAAAAGGTTGACCTCTTGGCATCTGGATATATACACCAAGACCAAGGGGATACTTTGAGACCTTCTTGACGCGAACTCAGGCCTTCCGGGCTCGGCATCTCATTGAGTCTCAGGTGCGTGGGCCCTGCTAGGCCTGGGAAAGCCGGGAGTGAAAATGACCCGAACCATCCAACTGGCGGAACTCCCCAAAACCCTGAATTCCCTACTCAGAACCAGGACACGGACCCTCACCAGACTCTCTTCACAGTTATTGAACACCACGCATTCAAACGCAAACCAAGCTGAAATGCCCGCCAGCCCCATTTCGCAAGTTCCTTGCACATCACACGTGCCTGTGCCACGTCACAACTCAGAAGTGCGTTCTTCGATCCATCGTTTTCTAGCTCAAGTGGCAACTGCCCCACGCGTCTTTGAAAGCCTTGCTGATCTCCCCGAAAACCAGGCCAACCATTCCGTCCACAATATCCTGTCTGCAACGAGCAGGTGTCTTTCGGCTTAATTCCAGAATAGTCCAAAAATGAATTCCGTCTCGAATTGATCGTACACCATGTTGGATGCTGTTTACAGGGAAACCAAAGAAACCAACCCTCCTCACAGACCCTCCCAATTTTGGGACACGCATTGCATATACAAGCGAAGTTGATCTATCCCGACTTGCGGGATCAAGGGTTCAGTGTTGTCCGAAAAATCACAACATGTGGTTCACCACCCCTCAAAACCTCCAAACCCACAAACTCCGCAGCTTCACCCTGCTGATGGACAAATCCACTTTGCAGGGATGGATGAAACCTGAGCTGATACACCACCAACCGGTTCTTTATGCAGATGTTATAACCATCCACTGGTTTTGTCTCTGGGGCACCCCAGCACCCAGGACCTGCGGCTTGCAGAGGACCCAGTGGCATCCCCAACGCCCCCTGGCACCGGTGGAGAAGTAGAGGGCATGGGTCAACAGAACCTCACGGTTGAGGAGGCAATCTCTATCCCTGTCACTCATTTGTCTTGGCGATCAACGCTTCCTGTGTGTCTGCGACAACACTAGATCTTGGCTTCGACTCAGTTCCAACAAGCAAAGTCTTTTAGGACCGAGCAAATTGCTCTAATTTGCAGACTTTTGTTTCCGGTTGCCTCTGGCTTCATGACTGAAGGCACAGCACCATAACTCACCAACTGGCAGAACAAAGGCTTCACCCCGGAGCTGCTGGCTCGCCCATGAATGCTTACAGATTTCAAGACTTCAATGAGTCATCTTTCAACAGCTCCACCTCCGACATAATGAACCTACTTGCCAGGTTGGGACCCTTTGCAGCCAGACAGAATCAAGCACTTTGATCAGGGCCTGTTGTTTGATTAGGTGGGCGTTAAATGGCAACAAGCAACCAGACTCGAGGACTTTAAAGGAGGGTTGAGGTGGTGTTGTCTTTCTAGCCCCGGCTTTTTTACTGGCCCCGGCTCAGCACAAGTGGCTCTGGGCAACAGGCGGTATTCTGTGGGGCCCTTGTTGGTTTGGGGTGGCCGCATCCCCAGCATCCCCAGCATCCCCAGCATCTCCAGCATCTCCAGCATCCCCAGCATCCCCAGCATCCCCAGCATCACCGGCCTCGCTCGGAACGGGGCTTCCAATTGGCTTTGATTTGGTGGCGGCTGGTTTCGGTTGAGTGTTGGGCTTGCTGGGTGAGGGCGGGTCTTGGGTTTGTTTGGGGTTCATTTAGGCTTTGGGCAAGGGCTGATAACCAGGATGCTGCGGGGAGGGTTTAAGGTTGACTTTGAGTCGGTTTGGCGCAAGGCCGGTTTTGGTGCTAGCCTTAGTTTTGGGCTGGTTTGGGTGGTTTGGGGCAACGCCCCACAACCAATCCCAAGAAATTGCCCAACTACACCCGCACACCTCGTTCCGAGCGAGGCCGGTGATGCCGGGGATGCCGGGGATGCTGGGGATGCTGGGGATGCTGGGCATGCGGCCCGCTGGACCAACCAACCAACCGGGGCTAGTAAAAAGAACAAACACCGGTTCCTTAAAGAAGAACCCGCCAAAACAGGAGAACATCAGCTAGCTGCACTGGGCCGACAAGAACGAAATCTCCACAACAGCCCAACTGGAACAACTCCAAGCAGCAGGCGTGAACGTTTGAACCAACAACTCGCATAAACAGTTTGTCAAGCACCAATTTGATCCGGGTACAAGTGGCAAACTGTTTGCTATCACCATGTTCTTCGCAAACAAAACGTAAATGAAAACAACCAAGTGCCCGGATGTGTCTGCATCGACAGAATTGCAAGAGAGCTGCTACAGCTGTTCGACCTTTCAGCAGCTCACGTAGTTCTCAAACCATCTCTGCAAAATACTGCAATTCACAAGGCAGAAACAAGGAGTTCCCAAGTAAGGGGACTTTCATGGTGCTCCTACCCCAGGTGAGGTCGTGATTTGCCCAGCGAGCCGCAGCCTGAATACCCACTCTGGGAGCCCTGGTTCAAGAGGAAGGCACGACCTTGAAGCACAAAGTGCGGCACCAGACCGTCCTCAAAACCTTCGAAAGGCTTAATAGACTCCCTCAGGGATCGTTGATCTATGTGCACGTGGAACGGCTCATCACCGAAGTAACCATGTCCTGCGTTCAAGCAAGGAATACGCGAACTTGTGCTGTGTCCAGGGTTCCCTGCACAGACAATCGCAAGAAGTCAGGACATGTTCAGTTCACCATCTTGTTGTTTGTGTGGTTCTGCTCCCGAACAATGGGAAAAACAATTCCATTGTGTGGAATGATAACCAATACTTCTGTGCGCAAAAAGTATTCCTGACCATCTCTACTGTCAGCCCAGCATGGCTATTTGTGTCAAGCAGCATCCTGGTCACCCTCCCAGCACCAAGTTTAGGAAGCACTGCGACCCGTGGGTGGACCTGTTGCTGTGAGGGTTGCCACCACCAGCAACCCGAATGCACCTGAAAAGCTTGCACCTCCCCAATCCAAACCAAGAGGTTCCCACTTACACAGGATCGCAGGATCAATGAACCCTCGATTGATTTCATAGAGGGTCCCGCTTTACATGGGATCATTCATTCACTTGAGGGGGACAACCCCGATTCATCTTGACAGGCTTACAATCCGCTCTGCTGAGGCCCTGTGCCCAGACACTCTTGCTCCAAAGAGCCCCGGATGCAAACGAAGCCATCAGGGCCTTAGCAAGCGAAGCCAGGCCTTGCTGGGGGAATCCATATGGGAAAATGTTGAGAATGTCTTTGGTGGATACCGTTCCGTTCTGCGCCAAACCAAAAGGGTGCCAGCCATGTGCACAACAGTCCGCATTGTGGGAATTGCCTCACCGCTTCTGCGGCACCACTGGGGAAAAATGGCCTCAATTCTTCAGTTGTCATAGTTGAAAAGTTCAACCTCATTCCTTGAATCAAAGCAAAGCAAAGCGAAGCATCAAAGGTGATGGGAGTCAGTAATATGAACCCAGGACCCCCACTCCGCACTACATCCCTGCCGTTGGCAAGCTCCCATCAAATTCCGCAACTGGAGATCGCTGGGCGTTTAAGGGAAACCAACTGAAAAACGTAGTTAACCAACAAAGAGGGAACGAAGCGTCTGCAACCATTCGCGTATTTTGGCAGCTAAGCTGCCACGAAGGGTTTTCGTGATTGCCAAACGTGTCCTTTTTACGAGCCCCGAAGTAGTCCAAGTCCCCCTGCCCAGGTACCGATGGATTTCCCCAGGCGCCAGGAAGTCGTGCCAGCCGCGGTCCAGGCGGTTCGCCTGAAAATATTGCCGGAAATGTGGGCCTTACCAAGCTAGGGACCCTCTTGGGAGAAAAGCAGCCGCTAAAGCCTCCCGAAAATGTTCGGAAGGACCTTAGAAGGGTTCTTAGAGCGCGGGAACCTTTCGGGGTAGTGTACGCATGTCTCTCCTTTCCAATGGTTGGATTACCTGGGTTGCTCTTTGCAAAATGCTCACCTTGTTGTTGAAAGTGAAACTCTTGCCATGTTCCAGAAGAAAGCTTAAAATTGGTCTAAGATGAAGCTCCAAGGCATTGAGACACTAAGTGAGGTTGCGCCTGTCTGTTTGGTCGCGATTGGTGCGGTATCATCATCATTGATGGGAAAAGAGCAGCTAGCAGTGTGCTCTATTTTGGACATTCTCTGGGTGCCCTGCATCAGACTTCAGAGCTCGGATGTTGTTCTCTTGCGAGCTTCGAATACCCTAATTCAACATGTGTAGTATGCCACGACTGAGGGTCACCTCTTTCCATCCGACAGTGGCCAGCGAAACAACTCTGGCAATGGAGCTGAATGCGACACCCTTTTGCATGGTTTGGGGAAACTGCTGGGAAACAGAGGGATTCAAGTTTGGATAGGTCCCTGAAAGGTGAACTGATATGAACCCCGGGAAAAGGGCCACTCGTAGATCCTGATCCAGCGGGGCGTCCCCCTTTGTAGTGGACCGGTTGTTCACGGGCACCGACCCGGAGCATCTGATCCTGTTCTTCCTACGACATATGAAGATGAAAACAAGGTTCCTGACTGTTTGGTGCATGAATGGGTTGAAACGGACAGAGGTCTTCAACATTTTGAGGGTGGCGATCACATGTTGTGTTTCAAAGGGCCGCCCCATTTTAGTGAACATCCTTGAAGGACAGCGGCAAGTGAATGTGCAGTTCAGAGTCGGTTGGATGGTCATCAGAATCCATTCCATAGTACAAATCATGTCTAACCACTAATGGCAATATCCCCCCACCTTCGGTGGTTGGGGGGTCCGGCTCCCGTTTATCTAGCCTTGTCTAAAATGGAAATGCTGGGAAGCTCCACCCCGCCCCCACCCACCCTTGCTGGAAAGTGGACACGGCGGTCCCCAACTTTCTGTCAACTTTCATGGTTGTTGGAAGGAGGGTAATAGCAGGGGCCACATATTCAAAATGGGGTTGTGGGGTACGATTAAACCAAATAACCTCAAAGGAGCAGACCGTGTCTAATATAGTCCCAAAGTTGGCAAGGAGTTGACGACCCACCTTGAAGGTCCACAGGTCGCTCTTCTTCTTGGCTGCCCAGGTCTCTCCGGAGCCTTGCCAGATGTGGGAGCTCAAATATTCCGTCCCGGGCTGCTTTCGCAACACCACACCACATTGCCCCTTGGCAATTGGCCGTTTTCAATTCTCCTGAATTTATGTATACGTATATGTACATCAGCGCTCTCACCTTTGAGTCACACTACATAGTAGGCCTGGAACCTCCCCACCTCAGGCTCCTTTGAATTCCCCGAAGTTGCCGCCCTCTGTTCGTGTCACTCCACACAGACTGAGCAAGCACCCAGGCCCCATGCAAATCTATCGGTGGCGAACATCCAGAAAGCACAAACTACTCTAATGGTATTCTCCCAATGAGAGGTTTTTGCGGGGAGAGGCTCATTTCATTGATGCAACCAACACGCGAAAAATTCGGATGTGCCTCATGGCCAGGTAGGTCAACCAGCCACACACACACATACCAAAAACAGCGAGCCAGCAAGCAAGCAAGCAAGCAAGCAAGCAAGCAAGCAAGCAAGCAAGCAAGCAAGCAAGCAAGCAAGCAAGCAAGCAAGCAAGCAAAGCAAGCAAGCAAGCAAGCAAGCAAGCAAGCAAGCAAGCAAGCAAGCAAGCAAGCAAGCAAGCAAGCAAGCAAGCAAGCAAAGCAAGCAAGCAAGCAAGCAAGCAAGCAAGCAAGCAAGCAAGCAAGCAAGCAAGCAAGCAAGCAAGCAAGCGATTGGTGTATACATCGCAACATGAATTGGATCGCTCCAGGCGTTTGGCAGCTTTTCGGTTTCCTCACATCAGGCCTATGAATCCCCTAGCCGTAGACCTAGCCTAGGCCTACAGAGGTTAGAAGCAGGGTTTGCGACGAGAGATGTGTATGCGCGAACCATCTAAACGGGCCCTTCCCCCGTTTTCAGCAGATCCAAGCTGGCCCGTTCTCCACTCCACTCCGCCGTCCTGAGGGCCACCGGATGCACGCGATGGCATACCTATCACAATGTGAGGCGCGAGCTGAAACCTATGGGAAAGCAACTCGTAAGGATTCAAGTTGAACCGCCCATATGAGTATGACTTTCAACTGAACTCCCTTCCATGGAAACCAAACCCATCGTGAGGTTGAACTGAACTTTTTATTTGCCAAGGAGGGTCCAAACAGTCACGTGGCTACAATTATTGCTCTTCGCGCGCGGCCTCAGGCAGTGCCAAAATATGTACTACGGATGTGTGTATATGTATATATGTCTGTATAAATGCGTATATACATAAATGCATATTATATGTACAAATACATACATACATGTATACACACTCATACATTACATACATTGCATACATTCCATATATCACATACATTAAATACATTACATACGTGAATACATACATACACACATACACACATACACACATACATACATACATACATACATACATACATACATACATACATACATACATACATACATACATACATACAGTACATACAGTACATACATACATTACATACATTACATACATACATTACATACATTACATACATACATACATTACATACATTACATACATTACATACATTGCATACATTCCATATATTCCATACATTAAATACATTACATACGTGAATACATACATACACACATACACACACACATACATACATACATACATACATACATACATACATACATACATACATACATACATACATACATACATACATACATACATACATACATACATACATACATACATACATACATACATTACATACATTACGTACATCACATACATTACATACATTACATACATTACATACACTACATACATTACATACATTACATACATTACATACATTACATACATACATACATACATACATACATACATACATACATACACACATACATACATACATACATTACATACATACATACATTACATACATACATACATACATGCATACGTACATACATACATACATACATACATACATACATTACAACATACATACATACATACATACATACATACATACATACATACATACATTACATACATACAAGCATACATACATACATACATACATTACATTACATTGCGTTACATACATACATACATACATACATACATTACATACATAC